AAGAAAGAAAAACATGTTTTTTTTCAAAATATTTGGTCTTTTTTGTTAATTTAGCAAAAATAAAAACCCCAGCAGTGATTAAATACCACCAAAAGAAAGCTCTAGTTGTGTGAAGAAAATGATAAAATTTTAGTTTGGGTACAATGTTGTATGACCGTGCAATTGTCATTCAAAGTATGAGAGCGCTGAAACCTGAAAATTGGCCTGGGCAGGAAGGGGGTAAAGGTGCCCTGTGTGGAAGCGGTTAATGATGTCGGGTGCTGCACTTGAGGCACCCTATATCAAGTAAATTGACCAATATTGCTATAAAGGTTTGCAGTTGTCAACAAGCATTATGTTGTTGACAAGTTCAAAATGAGGAAACATGACAGTTTCTTGCAGCCCACATATCTTGCAAACCAAATCAAAAGAAAAGTTTTTCTCAGTAAAAAAAAAAGAAAACAACTCTCAGTAACTTTTAGACAATATGAATATTAATATTTATTAGTAAAAATTGTACTTTGTTGCTGTGGCATAAGTAACAGATCCAGACTGCCTATAATCATTGCTATCAGAACAATAAACTGGAAAAGTGTACAAATGTCTTTCAAAACCATCTTTTGCTTAAAGCTCTAAAACAGAGCATATTATGTGTATTTATACCGACAAAAAAGTTATTTAACATGACTGTGTTCCATTTCATCAGTAGTTTTTAAAGTAAAAAATGAACTCAACTAATTCACCAGATGAATAAATAAATGTTCAACCCTTTCATGCTTATGGAGCAGTGACTAAATCTACATAACAAAAAAGAAAAAAAACAACTTTTACCACCAACATCTGCTATACTAAAAATGCCCCTAAAAATTGTGAAATAGTATGAAGATATGTGCTCGGGATTTTGCAGTTCCACTATCCACTATAACTCCCCAGATGTTTTGGATTTTTAAATGAAGGTGGCATAAGACAGAATTTGATTTTTAAATTTTTTACTGGACATAGCAAAAAGTCCAAAATATTGTTTTTTTCTCAAAATTGTCGGACTTTTTTTTAATAGCGCAAAAAAAAACAAAAAAAAAAAAACACATAGGCAATCAAATACCACAGAAAGAAAGCTCAATTTGTGTGGAAAAAAAGACATAAATTTCATTTGCGTGCAGTGTTGCATGACCGCGCAATTGTCAGTTAAAGTAATGCAGCACCATAACACAAACCGCTTCCTGACTACCCTATAGCAGAAATACTGCTACAGGGCGGCACAGGTGCGCAAAATCACACACACACATATATATATATATATACACACACACACACACACACACACACACACACACGATTCACGCTCCCGTGGTTTTCACGCCGCTTCCAGATAGCGTTAGATTGCCTGTCAGTACACCAGTAATCACATTTTACCCCTTTATTGCCAGGAATACGCTCACACACAATACACATCCATTGCTAGTATAGTGTCTGAACAGGTCAATATCTTTGGTCAGATCAGCACTATACCAGCGTTCACATTAGTATAGCGTCCCCAAAAACGCAGTGTTAGTGGGATCGGCCCCGGCAACTGCCAGCACCTGCGTTTAGCCTCTACGCTTACCCCCCCTTTCTCCCCCAGCAAGTGCAGTATCAGTAGGTCACCAAATCAATCTTTCAGCAACTTGATTACCCTATACTAAATGTTAGTGTATAAAAATAAAGTCCAAAAACAAAAATCAAAAACCAAAGTTCAAATAAAGTCCCAAAAATATTAATTCATAGAAACAATCTTTATCTGTAATTTCTCAATTCTTCATATCTTCAAACCACTTTTGTGATATACTCCAAACAAAATCTTCATATACCTCAAAGAAAAAACAACTCAACATGTGTATTATCTCCAAAAAAGTATATTAAAACGTGCCACACGTGTTTCATGCAGACAAAACTAACGTGCCACCGCAACCGTGAAAAGAAATCCCTCTGCCTTAGGTATCAATCCACTGCATACCAATAAGAGAAGTGCATAATTACCCTCAGAATAGTATCAAGGGTCTGAATACTTATTTCCAACCTTTTTGTTCCTTCAGCCTTTCCAGCCACTTCCCACAGACCTCATAAACAGACCAGGGATTAGTATGTGTCATAAAAACTCATAACACTTTATTGTAGCAACTTACATTAAAATAAGATGAAATCAGCTTCCACACCAAGAAGATTATTCACAATCCTGCCTCTCCTCAGAAGTGTGTAGGTATCCTCACCATCCCACTCCCGAGGGGGAATAGATCACCTGTGGTAGGTTTCCAGTCACCCAAAACACATGAGGATTCCAGGAAGGCACAACCGCGTGTACCAGGATCAAAGATAGTCGCCACCGCACTTCCGGAAGAGCGTCACTACGTCACCACGTCACGTGCCCCGGACACGTTTCGTCACATCCGGACTTTGTAAACAGGGACAAAGAATTAAAGAAGGATAGTGCTATATTTAGAACATCAGTATCAGTAGGTCACTGTCATTTGACACATTGCACACAAAACCGCAGTGTTTGCAGAATCAGGCCTGATCTCCGTTAACACTTGTCGGTAAATTTTAATGACTCTCATATGCAGCAGAGTCCCAGTACTAGTGCCACGCTACCTTTTGGTGAACTGGCAAACACCAGCGGCCTAGTACATCCTGGTCTTTCACATACCAGCACTGCAGTATCACTTGGTGATGTGGAGAGTCCCATAAGTGCAGTACAAGCTGGTGCGGTGGCAAGCAAAAGTATTGTCCCCCACCCAGCAAGAATTCGCGCACAGGCCTGTAGAGCCCATAGTATCCTTCTGGATGTGCTTGCAAATCCCGATTGGCAGCCCACAAATTCTGAAGCACCGTACTTCCCCGCATTCACTGCCCAACCCAGAATTCAGGTGGAAACAGCAAATTTAACTACTCCGTTTGATTTTTTTGGAGCTGTTTTTCACGGAAGATCTGTATGCATTGATTGCGGATCAAAGCAATTTATATGCACAACTATTTATCCTTGCCAACCCAAATTCAAACCTTTCCAGACCATTCGCATGGAAGCCCAATACAGTTTACAAATTTAGATTTTTTTTGGACCTAACTCTCAACATGTGCATTACTAAAAAAAATTAATTGCTGTTGTATTGGTCCACAGACCCGATTCATCATATCATCACCTGCGAGCGTTGACCCTGTGCCAGTATGTAAACAGCGGTTGCACTATGCATGTGAGGTATCGCCGCGAACATCAGATCATGGGCAGTAATTCTAGCACTAGACCTCCTCTGTAAATCTAAAATGGTAGCTTGTAAAGGCTTTTAAAGCATTGCCTATGGATATTAAAAATGTATGCAGTTTGTCGCCATTGTGCAGTTCTAAAGTATGTCATGTTTGGTATCCATTTACTCGGCATACCATCATCTTTTATATTTTACCAAATAATTGGCCAATATATATTGTGTTTATGTGCATTAAAAAGTAAAAAAAGTATTTTTTGCCAAAAAATCTGCATTTGAAATATCACTGCGCAAGTACTATGTGACATAGAAAATTGCAGTACCCACCATTTTATTTACTAGGGTGTCTGCTTAAAAAATATATATAATGTTTGGGGGTTCAAAGTAATTTCCTGGTCTTCAGGTGGTTAGAAGAGTGAATGATGTGTGGCATAAACTTTTAATGCTGGACATAAAAATGCCCCCACCCCCAAAACAACCCCTTTTTGGAAAGCAGACACCCCAAACTATTTGCTGAGAAGCATGTTGAATCAATAGAAGAATTTTTTACCACAAGTTTTTGGAAAATGACAAAAAAATTTTTTTTTTTTTTTTTACACAAAATTGTCTCTTAAATGATTTATTGCTCACACTTGCCATGGGTATATGTGGAATTACTCCCCAAAATACATTCCTCTACCAAGTATGGGGATACCATGTGTGATAGACTTTTTGCCAGTCTAGCCAAGTATAGGACCCCAAAATCCAATAAGCACCTTCAGGCTTTTAACCACTAGCCCAGTGGTCGGCAAGCCGCGGCTCGTGAGCCACATGCGGCTCTTTACAAACTTAAATGCGGCTCTTCTGTGTGCCGGGCGCCCGCTCCCCTCCCTCCTCTCGGGCGGCCGCCCCAAAAGTCAGGACTCTGCAGCTGTCAGGATGTAGGCGGGGCAGCCAGGATGTAGGCGGGGCAGCGTGACGAACTCCTCCTCTCCTCTCACAGTCCGCCCTGAAGACCAGAACGGCGCGGGAACATGGCGAGAAGAACGCGCAAAGGTAAGTGAATTGACTTAATATGGGGAATGAATTACTATATGGGGGATGAATTTCTATATGGGGGATGAATTTCTATATGGGGGATGAATTACTATATGGGGGATGAATTTCTATAGGGGGGATGAATTTCTATTTTCTATAGGGGGGATTTACTATAGGGGGGATGAAAAAGGGGGATGAATTACTATATGGGGGATGGGGGGATGTATTTTCAGTTTTAAAAATGTGGCTCAAAATAAATTTCAATCGTAGTTTTGGCGAGATTTGGCTCAGTTGAAAAAAAAAAGGTTGCCCACCACTGCACTAGCCTACAGGGCACTTATACCCCCTTCCTGCCCAGGCCAATGTCCAGCTTTCAGAGCTCTCACACTTTGAATAAAAATTGCGCGGTCATACAACATTGTACCCATATGACATTTTTATCATTTTTTGGTGACAGATAGAGCTTTCTTTTGGTGGTATTTAATCACCTCTGGGTTTTTTATTTTTTCTTAAACAAACCAAAAACCCCTGAAAATTTTGAAAAAAAAATGTTTTTTTTCTTAGTTTTTGTTATAAAATTTTGTAAATAAGTGATTTTTCTCTTTCACTGATGTGCGCTAATGAGGCTGCACTGATGGGCACTGGTAGGTTGCACTGATGGACACTGATAGGTGGCAATGATGGGCACGGATGAGGAGGCACTGGTAGGTGGCACTGATGGGCATTGACAGGCATCACTGACGGGCACTGAAAGGCAGCATTGATATATGGCACTGACTGGCACTGTTAGGCGGCACTGACAGGCACTGTTAGGCGGCACTGATGCACACTGATAGGTGGCACTGATGCACACTGATAGGTGGCACTGAAAGGCAGCTCAGATGGGCACTGATATGTGGCCTTGATGTGCACTGGTAGGCACTGAAGGACACTGGCACGAGGCACTGATGAGCACTGACAGGTGGCACTGCTGGGGCTACACTGATCATCAGGGCACACTGATCATCAGTGCTCTGATGATCAGTGTACATGTCCCCTCCGCGGAAAGCTGATTACCGGCTCTCCTCTCGAGCTGTCAGCATGACAGCTTGAGAGGAGAAAAATGCCGATAATCGACATTTTCCTGTTTACATGTGATCAGCTGTGATTGGACACAGCTGATCACATGACGGAGCCGACATCTTCGGCTCTTTCCGTGATCGGTGATCTGCCGATCGCCGAGCTCTCCCTGAGCCGCGCATGCGCAGTGAGAATGGGAGGATGTCATATGACGTCCTCCCAGAACGAGAGAACCACCTTGCGCCCGTCATATTACTATATGGCGGGCGGGGGGTGGTTAAAGGGTTTTATTTCCTCATTACACTTCCTGACTACCTATCACAGTTTTGGAGGCCATGAAATGCCAGGATAGCACCAAACCCCCCAAATGACCCCTTTTTGTAAAGTAGACACACCAAAAAATTTGATAAGAAGTATGGTGAGTATTTTGCAGATCTCGTTTGTTGCCACAAGATTTTGGAAAAATTAACAAAAAAAAAACCAAAAACATATTTTTCTTTTCTTTTTTATATTTTAAAACCTTGTGAAAAAAAAATGAGATCTGCAAAATACTCACCATGCCTCTTTTTAAATTCCTTGGGGTGTCTACTTTCCAAAAAGGGTGCTATCCTGGCATTTCAGGGCTCCTGTATGTGGCTAGACTCCCAAAAAGTCTTACACATGTGGTATCCCCATACTCGATAGAAGAAGCAGAATGTATTTTGGGGTGTAATTCCACATATACCCATGGCTTGTGGGAGAAATATATAATTTAAATGACAGCTTAAAAAAAAAGTTTGTCATTTTCCAAATATTTGTGGGAAAAAAATAAATCTTCCATGGACTCAATATGCCTCTCAGCAGATAGTTTAGGGTGTCGACTTTCCGAAAGGAGGTCATTTGGGGGTGTTTGTACTGTTTTGGTATTTTAGCACCTCAAGAAATGTAATGGGTAGTCAGAAAGTAAAAGCTGTATACATTTCATTATCTATACCATAGTTTGTAGATGCTCTAACTTTCACACAAAGCAATCAATCTACACTTATTGGGGTTTTTGTTAACCAAAAACATGTAGCAGAATACATTTTGGCCTAAACTTATGATGAAATTTGAGTTTTTGGATATTTTTTATGACAGAAATGAGAAAATATTTTTTTTTCAAAACGTTTTTGTTTATAGAGCCAAAAAAAAAAAAAAAAAAATACCACTAAAAGAAAGCTCTATTTGTGTGAAAAAAAGGATGTTAATTTCATTTATGTACCATATTGCATGACCGTGCAATTGTCAGTTAAACTAGTGCAGCTCTGTATAGCAAAAAAATTGCCTAAATTGCAGTCTCTATACCATAGTTTGTAGACGCTATAACTTTCACACAAAGCAATCAATATACACTTATTGGGATTTTTTTTTTACCAAAAACATGTAGCTGAATACATTTTGGCCTAAATTTATGAGTGTACTTTGAGTTCACTATATATTCTTTATAGCCGAAAGTAAAAAATATCATTTTTCTTCAAAATTTTAGGTCTTTTTTGTTTATAGTGTGAAAAATACTGTAAAAAGTGCACAGGTAATCAAATACCACTGAAAGAAAGATCTATTTATGTGAAAAAAGGACGTAAATTGTGTTTGGGTACAGCATTGCATGACCACACAATTGTCAGTTGAAATAGTGCAGCGCCAAAATAGCAAAAAGAGGCCTGGTCTTTAAGGGGGTTAAATCCTCTGGAGGGCAAGTGGTTAATGTGTGGATCCACCCAGATCACTGACCGGCAGCTGGATTAGCCTCTCAGCGCACCTCAGCGCCTGAGCCAGCCTTTCCTGCCCCCTCCAGAGCCCAGCACTCCATTGAGTGCTGGAGGGGCAAAGCAGAGAGCTGGAGAATGACAGTCAGCACTCTGTGCTCACTGGGGACTGAGTACTGAGCGATCAGTGTTTTTTTATTTTGATTGCTCTTGGTCTCAGTCTTGTAACAGACTGACACTGCATCCAACCAGGTGAGTACAACTGTTTTTTTCCCCAAACTTCTCTTTTAATGAATGGGAGACTTAGAACAGGGAGTACCATTAAGCGGTGAGAGCTCCACCCCAAAAACTACTAAATTAAACCATAGAACCAGCTCAGTGTGTTGCTGTAATATTTTAATCATTTTTGACATTCGCACAGTGATTTTTGTGGGCAGCAGAGATCTTCAAAGATGTACATATTCTACTTACTAAGCATTAAACATAAATAGGAGCTTACAACACCTCCATTCAAGGCTATGTTTGAACACAATTTAAAGTATAAGGTTCTAGAGGTCACTTGGATAATGATTGATCGAAACTAGTTGCTCTGTTTGCTTAAGAGACTTCTGTGTCCATCATCTAAAGTGCATTTAGGTTTCAATTTATACCTCATTTTTAAACATCACCTACCATGATCACTAGCAAATTTGTGTTGCTCCTTATTTCACTGACATGTTCAGGTAAGGTGCTGGATTTAAATGCATTACATTTGCTGTTAGAATGCCTAAAGTTGTATTTGCTAAAATTGTTAGGGTTTGTAGTAAAGTTAAAGGTTGTTGAAATAGAGTGTTTTGAGTTGTTGGAATATTTGATGTATGGGACTGAATAGAAGTATAATAAGGCATTTAGCAGAAATTATGTAATATTGACAGAAGCATTTAAAAGCATGTTTTCTTTTTATTCTTTTAAATGTTTTTTTTTTACATTCAATGTTTTTATTAAGGATTTAAGGTAGGAAAACATTGCTGTGATAGTCAGAATTGATAGTAATGTGACAATACTTCACCATATTAAAAGAATATTAGCTAGAGTGCCTCACACACTGCACATAAAATGCATAGTAGTCACCATAAGGCAGATATCTACAGCAGAGGACTATGTCACAATCGCCTGAGTTTATAATATTTAAAGAAAAAAGTGAAAGAGAAGTAGAAAGGAAAAGCATAAAAGAATATGAGAAGAAAGAAAGGAGAAACCCAGAGCACTGTAGGAATGATCAAATGTGTGGCCCAAGAAAATTAGGGATTGACATGCATGTAGCACGCCCATGGGCTCCAAACCTATTCAAAATGTTTGCTCATATCCTGAAGGATACCAGCAAGTTTTTAATGGGTCTTAATCCATAATACATTCTGCTATATCTGAGAAATTGAAGTCTTTCAACATGATCTAGCAATAGGTAATTTAGCCACTAATAGCATAAAAAATTTAAGTCTCTGAGCAGCACTGGAAAGATTCTCAAGTGGCTCATGCAAAAGAGCAATAAATGGGGATTGTGATTGAGACTCCAGTAACTTGTCTCAGTAGGGCAGAAACTCTATTCCAAAATCCCCTGAGGCTAGGGCATTGCCACCTTATTACCATAGTACACAGTACATTGGAGATGCCATCCCCTAAAACGAGTTGCAACGAAGTTGGATAGAGTTTTGACAGGTAAGAAGGAAACCAGATACCATCTAGTAAGGACTTTTATGTTTCTTTGATATGTTTTTATTGCCATAATTAAAAAAAATGTTTGTGATGCTGATACAGCACTCTGTTGCCAGTTAACTATCTTACTCTCAAATCTGCAGTGTTTCCTAGGCATTATTATTACATAGTTAGTCTGGCTGAAAAAAGACAAAAGTCCATCCAGTTCAACCATTAAAAAAAAAAGTTATAATCCTATACCCACAGTTGATCCAGATGAAGGCAAAAAAACCCAACAAAGCAGGATCCAATTTGCTCCTGCAGGGGTAAAAAATCCTTCCTGATCCCCCGAGAGGCAATCGGATATTCCCTGGATCAACTTTACCTATAAATGTTAGTATCCAGCTATATTCTGTGTATCCAAGAAAGAATCCAGGCCTTTTTAAAAGCAATCCACTCAGCTGGCCAGAACCAACTCTTGAGTAGTCTAAAGTGTTACTAAACCTACAACAGTAAAATCAGTCTGTGTATGCAGTAAACCTAAGGGGTTAATCCTCTGCATTGTGTAAAAAGGCTGTTTGATTCTGTTTTCTCTGCCCCTCCTCTTGCTGAAATGACCACCTGATACAGAATGAACCTGTGGTCACAGGCACATGCTCAGTTTGCTGTGTACTGCGAGAGAGAGGTTTTTTTTTTTTTCTTGGGAGAGTGCATGTGATCCGCACAGGGCCAATCAGCACTGTCCAGACAGAGGTCAAGGGGATCTCCATCATCCTAGAGTAGAAAGAAAACTCCTCCTACAAGTTTTAGCAAGTAGTGGGCTGGACATTGATAGAAGTCACAAGACTGCTCTAAAAGGTATTTAGCAGTTTATATTTACTAAAATAATTGCACTTCCATGTTGTGTGTACTGTGGGAGAACAGATATATGGAATGTAGGGTCCTGGGTTTAGTAACACTTTAATGTACAGTATATGTAAGTTAAAATAGTAAATGAACACATGACTGCACTTTCAGTAAACTCAGAAAATACACCTTTATTTTTAGAAATCCATAGAAATATGTACAGGTATGCTTAAGGAAGAGAGATCTCCGTCTACCAAAGTGTACCTGTACTTGTTTTCATGGATTTGAGAAGTACGAGCATAGATGATCCAACCTGGAGAGGTCTCATAACATCTTTGTATGCCATGATTACGTTAGAGGGATAAAATGTAGAGATGTTCTTTTGTTATCACGTGTAGCGCTCACCCCCCGAAGGAGCTGCTGGAATTAATGGGCACTTCTGTCCTTACTTCAGTGATGAACCATATATATATTGGATCCACAGCACACCAGTACACCTTGTGGAACGTTTTATAATAGGTTAATAAGACAGGTAAAACTCTGCAAATAGACTGCAAATTAACTTGGAAAATAGCAATTAAATGCACTGAATACACAGACCTTCTAGAATTGTCACAATCACATTAATAAACACAATATTCATGTATATATGTATATACCGGTATAGTTATAGATCAGAATTAACCCCCTGCAACTACAGCAGCAATATGTCCCCAGATAAACTGACATCTCTTTAGGCTCAGTCCCAAATTCACTTGTATGCTGTAGGATTGTAACACTGAACACTGTGTGAGTCTATGTGTTGCACAGGCCTGTGTTATTGAATCGGCGGAGCGCTCTTAAAGCGGAGTTCCACCCAAAAAGGGACGTTCCGCTTTAAACATTCGTC